TGCACCTTCTTAAGCTTTTTAAGAAAAATATGGAAATTAAAGCAGAATCTCTATTACTAATAATGCTGACACCTGGCAATGTCACAACATGAATTATACAATAAAGGTAATTATGCCAAAATGATTAATCAGAACTACTAAGAAACTTACATTATTATATATTAAAAATTTGTCCTACACACATGTATAATGCCATACTCAAAATGATACTAAGCCAGACTCACTCCTTGAGTATAAAATAGAAATACATTTTCTCTACCTCTCACCTTCTCTTCCTAAATAGCAATAATAATGCTAATTTAACCGTTATTAGACTGTACAGCTTACACAGATTTTCATATCAGAATCTAATTTTATCACAATGGTGATACTGAAATGAGTCCAGGTGTAAATATCTTATTTTAAAGATGGAAATATTTAGCGTAGAAAGTGTCATTGGCTTGCTTAATTTCACACCACTCCTTAGGGGCATCATGAGGCTTCAGTCCATATTTTGTGACCTGCTCCAAATTGCTCTGAAGCAGAAGAGTATCTCTTTCAGCTTAAACAAGCCCATTATCAGCTAAGGGGATGCCTGGTATTATGTGTTACCTTCCGCAAGCCTGCAGATAACCAGCTTTTCTTCTAGCCACCACCATTATTAAATAGTACTTCCCTTTCTATGGCTTTACAGTGGCTCCTAGATGCCTCTTAAATCCATTTAAAAACTCCTGAATTGGAGTTTTTGTTCTAGCAATTAGTTGGTTTGTTTTCAGCTCTTAGTATCCTACTCAGGCTGTTAAAGTTTTATCCTTTCCTGATGCTGCTTGTAAAAAAATCTCCTTTGTGCCAAACCACATTCTTTTCCTTTAGATCATAACCACTTCCCAAGAAGGGCCTAAGTTTCTTTTTTTCTTTGTTTCCTACTTCTCTGTAACTTTCCACAGCCTGACTGTGATATATGCTGTGTCAGGTGCTGGCTGACTGACTTAATGAGCAAGAGGTTTGGATTAAGAACTCGGCTAGCATTCTAAGACCAGCTTGTTTTAGTCTAACAGCTTTTACATTAAACCCCAGGCCTTTTGGGGGGTGAAGGGAAAGTAAAAAACAAAAACAAACAAACCAAAAACCCACAAAAACAAAGGAGGTAGGAGAAAACTGATGTGTAGACAGAAAACTACTCAGTAAAGGGACTGAAGCTTTGGAAGGCAGAGGGAAATAGATTCACCTGGGGCATGTTTTTGCCAATGCTTCTTGATCTGAGATTTCTGCTGTGGCTTTATTTGGGATCAGTCTGTGAAAATTCCTTTCTCTCTTCGTTTTTTCTGAATGCCTATGGAGGCCTAAGTGGACTATCTACGCTGGACAAGTCAAGTACTCCAGACAGCTTTGGAAATGTTCCCCTTGTTTTTTTGTTTTTCAGTTTACAAGATAATTTCTTCACTAAATTAGACTAAGCTGATTCACACAGCATTTCTTCCTGGCTAAAGAGCTGAGTAATTAAAAGTTCTAGGTACACAATAAATTAATTTACAGAGCATTATCACATTTTTAACCTTAATGAAGCTATAATGTGTGGGGGTCTCAAAGTGACATCAAAATGAAAAAGACACAGTCTAAAAAAGCAAAAGTAATTTTAAATTAATTCAATCTTTTTACTTGTATTAACACCATCAAATGTGGGGACGGAGACTAGCAAATATTAGGGGTACTAGGAAATGAATGACTTCTGTCAGTAATTTATATTCACCTCTGGTCTTCATAATCACACCCTGAGTTAGATAAGTCATATGTAATCATTTTTATTTTCTTTGCTAGGGTTTGAGGATTAGAGGGGAAATGACTTCCCTAAAGAACGTGCAGCAAGCAAGCAGCATGGTCAGAATAGAACTACGGGTCTTCCCCCACCGACCCAGGGCACTGACCACATCCTACGACTTGCTAATAATATTAGCCTTTTTGTGAAATGATGCTGCTCTCTTGTTCTTAGAAAAGGCACTTGGAAAATAATAATGAATTGTTTTTCGTTTCTACAAGAATAGAAGAATCCACCGGGAACGTTATATGTTTGTGCTTTATCTTACTGTGATAACTTTTCTCAATGTTAATGATTAAAAGATATTGTAATTCTATTTTAAAATGAAAAAATACATCAAATGGTGTTCTAGCATAGGAAATATTTCCTCTGTTGTCTCTATGTAAACATAAGTCAAGCTTAAAGGTAAATATCTCCTTCCATTATAATTTGAGTACACAGCCACTGGTAGAAATTTGTTATATGATAAATTTGTTTTCTTAAATTTCTTGATTCCCTTACTTCCTGTAGTATGGAATAAAACTTTTTAAGTAGGAACTCAACTTTAAAATTTGAATATTAAGATAAAAATAATTGTTGAATACTACTACAGTCCCAAAAGCCATTTTTCCCAATTAATTTGTTATCTCATTTCTTCAACATAAGAAGTTTTAAAACATCACAAACTGATCTACCTTCTAATTCAAAACTTTTGACGAACAATGAATGATGATTAACAAATTTGCTGTTTCTTGGATCTCGTCTTCTATCTTTTTCTTTCTTTCTCTCCTTCATTCCTCCCTCCTTCCTTTGTCTCCTTTTATTCTGAACTCTCTCAGGTAATTCTATTTACCCGTCTAATCACTCTGGCAGCTGACTTGGATATATGACAAATTAGTTCTCTGAAAGTAAGCCATCCTTGACTACACTAATAAACCCTTATTTAGAATAGTAGCTGTGTTTTCACTTTATTCTGTCATTAAAACTTTAAAAGAGGACTCTTTAATGAATTTAACAAAAGAAAATAAGGGAACAATATATGTCATTAATTTTATCAGTCTTTTTAGGGAAGTGTTTTAGGGAAGGATCAAAGACTTTAAAAAAAAAAATTGAAATGTTTTACAGGTTTGATTAAACTTATTTGGCCATAGAGAGGGTCTTAATGAATGATTAGCAATGTATTTCAGTCATTTTTTCCCCCTCCCTAACTTAAAATTACTCTAGTTGTGTAATTCTAAAGTTTTTATTCAGGGAACCCCAAAGAGCTTTAAGGGTCACATTTAATTCTATAGCTGTTAAAAGTAATATAATAATTTTCCTTTCAAAAAATTCTGCGTACTTGACATTTTTGTAGAAAAACAGTACAATAGTTTGATTCTTTACGTAACTCTTAAAACCTGGGCCCACATGTTTCTGTCTCAGCATAGCATTACCTTCAGAAAGTACAATTCGACATCCACAGTAATTAAAAATAATTCCATTTCATTAAAAAACTGGAAGAAATTCTAAACAGCAAGCCCACTACTGTAGTTGTTAAATGCTCCATATTCTCCTGTCCATTTTCTTGCCTAAGGCCACTGTCTCAAAGCCCAGGGCAACTCTTTGTTCCCTTCAAGATATTTGATCTCAGGTAAAAAGAAACAGGAAAAATTAAACTTAATATATTAAAGGTAAAAATATATTTGATCTCATTCAATATTAAATCTTGGTTGCTGATTAAGCAGTCTAAGAAAAGTCTGTTGTTTTTGTCAGTTGTTTTGGGTCATCTGAAGTCAGCAAGGAGGCAGTTTAAAAGGGAAGATGGACAGAAACTGAGAGAGAGCAAGAACAAAATGGAACCCATGAACCTGCATTAATTTCTCACTGCCTCCAACTTTGATGGTTCAGGTGGCCTCAGGAAAAGGTAATAAATTAATCATGAAACTAAATGTGCACCTGTCCTAATAGTGAAAGAAATTGAAGGAGGCTCCAGAGAGAACTTCAAGAGATAGTCCTTGCTTTCCTGTAAACTAGGTCAGCCAGAAGAGCAGGGACAGCCTGTGTATGCTGTATAAGTGTCCTGCTGCCCCTCAAGAACTTTCTGAGCATAAAGAAAACTATGGCTGCTGCTAATCTCTCAGTTTCTCAATCCCATGCACAATGATAAACCAGAACAACGCAGGAAAGAGAATTCTGGGAAATGTAATTTAGCATAGCTGTGTTGATGCAATATAAATCCAGCATAGTAGTGGAGGAGGCAGAGATTGACTTCAGGAAACTCTCCAGAGAAGGATAATTAAAACTTCCTTCTGCATTCAAGACATTTGCATCTGCTGTTAGTTTAAGTGAAGTAAGCAGATGTATTTACATTTTTAACACAGTGTCCTAGAATTGTAACAAGCTGATTATTCGACTTGATTTAAATGCATAACAATCTGAGCTCCATGTTGAAAACGACATTTTTGATCTCTCAGTTATTTGGACACATATAGCAATGGTGGGACGTGCCTTTTCTCATAAATCCTACTTTCAACTAACTTTATGATTCAGTAAAAAAACTGTCAATACATAACCATGTAAAATAACCATGTTATTATTGTTAATAACCATGTTATTAGTCATGCTATTATTGACCACATTAATATATGAGCATGTAAAACCTCCTAATGAGTTTTCCATCATGGCCAAAAACATATCATTAACATTGTTATCTAACAGTCAAGTTATTGCATGTTCAGAGATCTTGATAGCTGGATAAGATTCTTTCTTTAAAAATATGTATAGAGTACAGATTTTGTAAACTGGGCACAAAAGATATATCGTCAACTCTTTTATTATGCTGAAAGTAATTAAATTAAAATCAACTAGATAGATTACAAAAAAGACAAACATGACAAAAATTGCAATCTCGTTTTGAAGATATAAATTGGAGCCATCAGTTGGAATGTGTTTTCATTATTACTAGATTTGTAATCTAGAAGACCTAAACTTCAATATATTCAATATATAAGTCCTTAGAGTATAAAATTCCATTTAAAAACCTAGATGTTAAAATGGTTCAGATATAGACATATAGTAAGTATGAAGGTATTCAACATGTTTATCCAATGATTTTTAAATATTTCTTATCTTTGGACAATATTCTTAATTTCTTAATTAAGAAATATTCATTAAGCTGGTTTTAATGAAGTAAAGTAATACAGATCATTTTGCAAGGATTTCATAAATGTGAATGAAAAACGATACATTATAAAGTGCAAGTGACTCCAGCATCTTCAGAATGTGAACAGGCTCTCACACCCCATTGTCGAATCATACACTCTTCAATAGATGATTCTTTCCCAAAACAAAAGACCTCATTCAACCATATTGGACCAGTCCCTGCAAAAATCAGATACAACTGCATTAATATATTTTAGTGTTTATGTTTGAGTGCAACAAAGCCATGTGTTGATCATTTTCTATATATTATTTCTGTGATCTCTATTATGATTCAAAAATTAACCCCCTGCTTCGGAAAACTTTATATTCTGTCAATGTGTAAAATACTAAAATACAAATTATAAGAGCTATAACAAAGGCACACACACAGTTCTACAAAATTATAAAGAATGATTGCTTTTCTCTAAGCATTTAACAAATTAGTCTTAAGGATAAGGGAAAGAAATAAGCTGTAAAATAAAAATAAGGAAAAAAAATGAAGAAAATAAGGAAAGACATAACCTTTAATAAAAATGGATAAATGAAATGACCTGATGATCTAAGTGTATTTTTATGAGGTATATCTAGAACATAAAATATTCTGAAGTTCTTTTCTTAGCTTCAGTTGTATTTCAGTTTACATGTGTCTGGTTTAACAAACGTATTATCTATTTTTAATTAAACTATGAATAATACAACCAAAAAGAGTTTACCAACTGTCCAGTAAGAAGATCATGAATTATTAATTGCAAGAATACACAAACGAAAAAAAAATGGCACTGCTAACACTTATTCTTTGTCTGAACTCTTCCTCAAACACATTAGAAAGAAAAACAATGGCTGTCAGTAGTAAGCTACCTTGCAGATATTTATCTAAATAAACAAACTTAACTGCCATTTTTAAGATAAAAACATAATATTACCAATGAATAAGAGAACAACATCTTTTAAAGAAGGAATTCATGGCATGAAAAGATAATTTTAAAAATGGATGTTTGAAAATGTTTTTCTGATCTTCTCTAAAGATTTTCTAACTGTATAACTTATAAAAGTTTTTTTCTTTCATTTACATTTAAGACATTTAGAAATAGAACCTTTGAAAACTTCTAAATAAATGATTTCATTGGGTTTTGTTAAACATAGGATATGGCAAACCTCCTAATGAATTTTCAAGAACATCTTATGTCATCAAGAAACTGATGATTTATCAGCTAACTTTCAACAAACACCTTTGCTAAACTGGTAGAGGGTAAATAAATATGTTAATACTGCAGTCATAATCAATATTTTCCTTTATATCAATATGCTGTTGAAAGGTTTCTTTCAGTCACAAGAGATATATAAAATATATTTAGAAATAAATTCAACAGACCTTTGAATTAGAAACAGACCTTTGTGTAGCTATAAAACAGTGTTAAATAAAGACTTGTTTTTCACAAAGGCATGTATACTAACACATATAATGGATTTACTGATTTGTCAGATATCCTGTGAACTCAATACGTTAACAATATATACATATTTGATAATGTATACAATTAAAAGTAGTGTGTGCATATAATACATTAATAAATTAGTGGGAATTTTGTAATCACAATGTCGATAACACTTGACCCAATCTTAAAAAACGGGTAGAGGTTTCCACGTGTAAAAAGGAAGTCATTCCATATAGTGGGAGCAGCATGAAAATGCTTGAGGTAGAGTAGTTAACAGTCTCCTGGCATCTAAAACACAAAGTACACTAATGATGGAAGAAGGATCCATTGGGAAGGTTGGATAGAAAGCTGGGACCATGTTATAAATTTTTTGAACTTTATATTGTGAGTCACCAAAAGAAATGACATCATCAGTACTACATTTAGAATTATGTGTCTGGCAGAAGTGTGGAAGTAAAATTGATGAAGAATCCACATGCCCGAAGGACAGTTAATAGGATGTCTATATAGACATTTTCTGTGATGACATGTTTTTATTTACTTTTAGAACAGACAGGAGATTTTCCATATAAAATAAATTGGTGTAGTCACTTAAATTTTAAATAACTTGTGCCTTCAATAGAACAATCCAAACTTGAGACAAAATTATATTTTGGTTTACATTATCAAGATAATTAGAAATATTGTGTTTTTCACTTAATATAGTAGTAATTAAATCATTATTCAAATAATATTCTATTATAAAAGCAAAAGTTTTTCTGTACTAATCAGTTTTAACAGTAATAACAGTAATCTGAAGAGCTCATGTGTTTTTGAAATGTTTATAACAATACTGAGTCTTTTCAACTTAAAATTTTAAGGCAGTTAAAAAGGAATATGATCTCAAAATCTGAAATCTTTCCAGGAACACTTTCTGTTTCCCAAATTGCTACTAGGTAGGTATAGCATGGTCCCATTTGTGTTTGTAAGTGTTTGTATGTGTGAGCATGTTTGCATATGTATGTCTTTTTAAATACACATTTCTTTTTCAAATATATACTTTATCTAAAGCCTGTACCAATTTTTTGAAAGTCCCAGAGGGTTATTCAAAAATATAGGCAAATAACAATTGCACGGATAGTAAAACTGCTTCCACGTTAACTTGAGACAGAAGCAAAATAATGGGACATTTATAGATTGTACTTTTTACATTTATGGACCTTTATAAATGGTATAAATAAACATAAGTAAAAGTGTTTGTGAAAGCTGTGGAACATGAGAATATTATGGCTCCATGGTTTCTGTACCCAGGGTACTGTGACGCTTTCACTCTACATTTTGTAGATCTAGTCACTGGGTTTGAATCTTAGCAGTGCAGATTTTTACAATCTAGAAAAAGAGAATTAAGAGTAATACCTCCCAATGGCTGCAGCACCAGCAGGGTCATCCCCACAGGGGCAGCACGAAACATATTATTTAGTCAGTTAATGTGCTGACCCGTAGGCACAAGTTTTTAGAAATGACAGTAAAGGAATTCATGAATGTTAAAATACTAAAGCTGTAATAACAATAATGAACAGTTAAGACCACGCTTTGAAAAATTTACAATATGGCCAGAAACATGCAAAGTACTTTTGATAGGTTATCTCATTGGATCCCCTAAATGACCTTAAAAAGGTACATGCTTTTATAGTGCCATTCATTGAGGGAAATAAAAATTAGAGAGAAAAAGTAACTTTGCTCAATGCAGATGGAGCATTTCCACCCTGTGTCCACCTAAAGCCAGTGCCTTTAATCAATAATTTACTGTAATTCTCAACATTATTAGATTTGGTTGTTCAACAAATCTGTTTTGAGTCCCTACATGACTGAACAAAATCAAAATCCATTCTCTGTTAGACTGACCTCTTAGCGAGGACTTCTATTTGAGGTAGAAGGAGCAACTGAGTTTACATATACAATTAGTGACAAAGCTGATACTTGCATCTAGAACTCCTAGCTCTTATTCCGGTGATTTTTCCACCAAAAACGTATGGATATGATCAATATATTGTGCCATTTGATAACTCTGGTATTTTGCTATCTGAAAAAGATTCAGACACAATGAACATGTTTTCAGACACAGTGAATATACTAGGTCTTTTCACATATGCTTTTTAAAACTTACTCTTCTAATATTATAAAATAATGGCAATTATCTCCATTTCATAGATAAATAAACTGAGACTCAGAAAGAATGAATGACTTTTTCAAAATTACAGAAAAAACAGAGCCAAGCAACAGGACATAATGACCTTTAAAACTTAGTCATATTTATTGACTACATAAAAGCCCAAATATTTATAAAAATTATTTTCATAGATTTGTTGTTTTATTTTCATATTAATATATTTAGGAATATTGAGCCTAAGGGGGAAATTTATTTAATATGCATTTCCCATATCCTTCCAAATTGTTTTTTGCGTTAAAAATTAATGCAAAGTTAGCATGAAATTACAAATTTGTTTTTATTTCTTTAGGTAATAATGGTTACTCAAGGCTTTTGTTGTTGCCGTTGTCATTGTTATTTTTTGCAACCGAACTATCCTTTCTACTTAGTGGAAACCTATGTAAAATTGATATTTATATTTCAGATGTGTTTTTATTCTCTTATCTATCATCTATTTATCTATCTATCTTTCATCTATCATCTATCATGCATCTATCATCTATCATCATCTATCATCTACCATCTACCATCTATTATCTATCTCTCATCTATCTACCCAGCCATCTATATATCTACAACTCCCTTTACAATTTAAGGGCTAGGGAGAACAAATTGACTGAGTTGATGTTTCCAGAAGCAAACAATGACAAATGTGTTGTCTATTGCTTCTAGAATTTTATGAGCTTGGTTCGTGATTCTTAAGAACATGTTTGACAGACAATATCATTTCTTCTTAATCTCTTTTAAAAAACACAGATATTGTTATTTCTTTAAGAGATTTGAGTTTCTTTTTATCTGATCTTCATTAACCCACAACTTTTATGAAAAAAGAAGGGTAATCAGATTTTTTATACATTAGCCAGATATATATAGTAAAATGATGAGACTTGAGATTAGTACTGCATAGATATGTAGGGAAGCAAAAATCACAAATGGCTAAAAATATCTGAATGAATTTTAATCAAATCCAGTTATGACTGGGTGATATAAATTTATATCATTTTTAAGACTTCTAACTGGGAAGTACTTTGTCAATAGCTTCTCCTTCAAGAAAAAAACTTTTTTTTTTTTTTAAATTAATTGAAGTTGAAAATGGACCGAGAGTCAGAATAGAGAATGGGTAAACAGACTATATATCTGGATTCTAATTTTGTAGTTCTAAAAAAGCCACTTATTTTCTCTGTTTTATCATATATGCAGAATAAAAGGGTATGGCAAAATATCTCTAAGATTCCATTTACCTTTAAAATTTTGTGATTTGAAAATTTTAAAGAAGCAAGCTCTTTAGACATAAAGCTCTTAAGAAGTAAGAACTTAGGACATTCTGTCCAGTGAAAAGAGACAGATTAAGACAAAAAATCTAGACCTCCCCCCACATAATAGCTCTGTAAATTTAGGCTAGTTTTGTGACAGCTGACAGCATTACTTACTTTCTCTATGAAAAATTAGGGCTATAATATCTATTTCTCATAGGCACTGTGTGGACTAAATAAGATCATGTAGTAAGCACATGACAAATAATATGATTTTATATTTAGTAATATCTTTGTTACCACGAGTAACAAACAAATATGTTAAAAACTCTATAGGCTCTAGATTAGTTTCTATAGTAATCAACATCTAAACATTTTAAAATATGCCAGAAGCAAGATGTAAGAATTTGACTTCTGACCATAAAAAAATATGTATTTTATTTATCTTTGAGATGTTTTTTTACTTCCATTCACTAAAGCAGAGATACAGTTATATTTTTGATCTCCTCCAGTTTGTTCTTATATTTTTAAAAATTCCGCTTAGAAAACTGATTATAGATGTGAAAGGGATAATGAATAAAAGATAACATTTATGTTTAGAACTTTCTTTAGTTTCTGCTTTCAAGTTTGGGTCTTCAGTATAAACTTCTATAAACTGAGGAGATGAGATAGCTGCTCCAGGTTCAGCTCTTACTTCCCACATTAGCATACAGCTCAGATATACCTTGCACAAATTCCCAGAGTACCACCGCTGTCTGATAAAGCTCATCCAAGTTTGATACAGGGAGACCACAGGGTCAAGAGATTGGACAGCCTGCATAAGGAGAAAAAAGAAAAAACACC